ATAACAAAAACAGAGTCTTTTAATGTCAACACAGGGTAGTAACAGCAAAATACACAGATCTTCTTCTTGAGTGGAAAAGGAGAAAGTAAACAACCCGCAGAGAGGGTGATAAACAAAACTCAATAGTCTTTCAGATAACTTCAAAGAGCTTTAGGCAGCAGTGGTGAATAGGTGGGTAGCGATGACAGGCTGCAGGTACGCGGGTCGAAGAAAGAACGTGAATACCTGATCTCTCGTAGCTTCAGATGAACTGGACAGAGTAAATAATAAGATGATTAGCTGAGAACAGATTGCACTAGCCAGGCGGATGCCGAAAGGACAGGACAGGACAGGACGAAGTTTGAAACAAACGAGGCAGTAGTTTGCTTCCAGCATGAGAAACTCAAATGAGAATCTGACAAAGAAAGCAGCAGGAACAGAAAAGCTGTGTCCGAAATCACCCATTACTCACTATATAGTGGACTATATAGTGAGCTCGCCATTTTGTAGTGCTGTCAGAATGTATAGTGATGATTATTATACCCTACATAGTCCACTCAATGTATCCCAGAATGCATTTTGAAAAGTAGTGTACAACCGATGGTCACTAACCTAAGCCCTACATACCATCATGCATTGCGCGGATCGTAAAAATAAGGGGACATTCTAAAACGCTTAACGTGAAAAACGCTTAACGTGGCTTACTGTACTAAGACAGTGATATTAAAAGACAAAATTCAGTACACATCATATTAATAAACCATACTATGTATAAAAAAATAAGATGAGTCCAAGATATCAACGCAACGCGATTAATAACACGTTAAGCATTTTCTTCCCATAAAAAACCGTTATGAGAAAACGCTTAACGTGGCTTACTGTACTAAGACAGTGAAAAGACCAAATTCAGTACACATCATATTAATAAACCATACTATGTATAAAAAAATTAGATGAGTCCGGAATATCAACGGAACACGATTAATAACACGTTAAGCATTTTCTTCCCATAAAAAAAAACGTTATGAGAAAACGCTTAACGTGGCTTACTGTACTAAGACAGTGATATTAAAAGACATAGATATAGAAAATTTGAAGTGGCTGGACACCCATTGATGTGTAGGCCTGTAAGTAAGACAGAGTTAAAGCAATGAGCTACATTTCTCATTAAGCGTTTTCACAAGCGTTAATAATGCACAAAATAGATTCAGGATTTTTTTTTTTATTATGCTTACAAACAAACAAAGATGACAATCATAGCATACAATTATGTCACAAAATTGCAAACATATCTGTGCAAAATATGATAACAATAGGTACAGAGTCATCTTAACACAAGTACAAAAACAAAACAAAGAACATAAAAACTAAAAAAACAAAGAAGAAGAAAGAAAGAGAATTAGAAGAATTAGAGAAAAATAAATAAATAAATAAAATGAGGATCAAGAGAGCAAGATATTCTATACAAAATTTAGAGTAGGACTAACCAAATTAAAGTCATTACAAAATAAAAGTGTTTTTATTGCTTTCTTATTTACTGAGGATGAGATGATGTTAAGGTACATTTCAAACTCTTTAAAAAAAAAAAAACTATAAAAATTGGTTTGTTGTTGGAGAATTTACATTTATGGATATAGAATTTCCCAATAAAATAAATTAAATTGGTAACAAAGCAGGCTTTTTTATCGGGAGTCATCCAAGTATCCAAAAATAATGTCTTTAAAGGTTACTGATATATCTTGCTGGATATTATCTTTAATAAACTTGTCAATAGGCTACTTTCCCATAGTTGTTTAGTATAGAAACATGACCAAAATAAATGATAAACAGTTTCTGTGTGAACTTGGCAAAATGAGCATCTTGTGTCAATATTACTCTTATATTTAATCATGAAATATTTAGCTGGGTAAAATGTATTTATTATTTTGAAGGATACTTCTTTAACTTTATTTGTTAAAAAATATTTTTGTGGTAAGGACCGAATCTTTTCCAAATTTACATTTTTAAATAATCTACTCCAGTATGAAATTACAGGAGAAACAGAAACTATATCTAAGAAAGAGGGATCTAACTTTATTATTTCTATCTTTTTTTCCTGAAAAAAAAAAAAAAATCAGAATTCTACCTGGCTTCCCTTGTTTAATCCATGAATGTTTTTGTTTTGTTTTGGGTTTTTTTTTTAACCAAAAATATGTGAGACATTGTGAAACTGGGATATGAATTAACTTTTGATTTTATATATAGCCTTTTAGTTTCATATTTACATTAAAATATCAGCCTTTAAATTGCAGCTTGATGCATGGATGGATGAATATTAAACCATTTAATATAATTTAATGTCTATATACATATGAACATGTCATACTGTACTTCAAATTTGAAGCAGATGCTTTATAGATAGGTATTAAACTACATAATATAGTTTCATGTCTGCATATGGCATACCCTTCAAATTTGAAGCATTTGCTTTATAGATAGATAGATAGATAGATAGATAGATAGATAGATAGATAGATAGATAGATAGATATTCATACATAGAATATACATTATCTAAAGAATATATAACTAATAAATAATAATTATGTTGAAGAACAGAGACTCAAGAAAGAGAAAATGATAATGAATTAATGAATAATGAATTGATTTGAATTTATAGACAGGTAAACAGGAAACACTGGCGAGAGTGGCAGATGCAGCAAGGTGAAATGTGCATATAACCAGAGTGAATACTGACAGTTTATTGTGTTGTAGAAGATGGAGGAGATCGTGGATGACAGACGAAGCGCACACACAGACAGGGAACCGGCGAGTGGAGTAACACAGGAGACAGGAGACATGGAGGTCCAGGAAGACAGGAGGTAAGGTAACATATACTTGGTTTTAGCAGGAACAACAGGTAAGATAGTCTTAGCTCAAAACAGAACCAGACAAAGTGCCAGAGTGAGGTGTGTGCTTTTACACTGCAAAGGTGATCTTTGTGATTGGGTGGTGATGGAGCCACACACACACACACACACACGTATATGAAAATGGTATACATTATCTATTCTATCTATCTGTATACTGCGTGCATATGTATTATTTATGATTTTCTGATCAGATTTTTCCCCCAAGCACATTTTACCAATTCCAAACCACATCAATCTTAATAACTACTATCAATTTTGTATTTAAGAATTTAAGTGATATACAATTGTTTATGAAGGCTGGAAGTGAAAACCGCATGTGCATAATTATTTAGCAGTTTTTTTTTTTACAGATAAAATGAGCCAAAAAATAGATTTAAAAGGTGCTTGGGAAAATAATATTATCAGAAAATCAACTTGCATAATAATTAGGCACACAGTGTGTATGTGTATATATATATATACATATATGTTTATATAATATTTATAAATATAATATATATGTATTTATTTAGTTATATATATATATATACACTCACCGGCCACTTTATTAGGTACACCTGTCCAACTGCTCGTTAACACTTAATTTCTAAGCAGCCAATCACATGGCGGCAACTCAGTGCATTTAGGCATGTAGACATGGTCAAGACAATCTCCTGCAGTTCAAACCGAGCATCAGTATGGGGAATAAAGGTGATTTGAGTGACTTTGAACGTGGCATGATTGTTGGTGCCAGAAGGGCTGGTCTGAGTATTTCAGAAACTGCTAATCTACTGGGATTTTCACGCACAACCATCTCTAGGGTTTACAGAGAATGGTCCGAAAAAGAAAAAACATCCAGTGAGCGGCAGTTCTGTGGGCGGAAATGCCTTGTTGATGCCAGAGGTCAGAGGAGAATGGCCAGACTGGTTCGAGCTGATAGAAGGGCAACAGTGACTCAAATAACCACCCGTTACAACCAAGGTGGGCAGAAGAGCATCTCTGAACGCACAGTACGTCGAACTTTGAGGCAGATGGGCTACAGCAGCAGAAGACCACACCGGGTGCCACTCCTTTCAGCTAAGAACAGGAAACTGAGGCTACAATTTGCACAAGCTCATCGAAATTGGACAATAGAAGATTGGAAAAACGTTGCCTGGTCTGATGAGTCTCGATTTCTGCTGCGACATTCGGATGGTAGGGTCAGAATTTGGCGTCTACAACATGAAAGCATGGGTCCATCCTGCCTTGTATCAACGGTTCAGGCTGGTGGTGGTGGTGTCATGGTGTGGGGAATATTTTCTTGGCACTCTTTGGGCCCCTTGGTACCAATTGAGCATCGTTGCAACGCCACAGCCTACCTGAGTATTGTTGCTGACCATGTCCATCCCTTTATGACCACAATGTACCCAACTTCTGATGGCTACTTTCAGCAGGATAATGCGCCATGTCATAAAGCTGGAATCATCTCAGACTGGTTTCTTGAACATGACAATGAGTTCGCTGTACTCAAATGGCCTCCACAGTCACCAGATCTCAATCCAATAGAGCATCTTTGGGATGTGGTGGAACGGGAGATTCGCATCATGGATGTGCAGCCGACAAATCTGCGGCAACTGTGTGATGCCATCATGTCAATATGGACCAAACTCCCTGAGGAATGCTTCCAGCACCTTGTTGAATCTATGCCACGAAGAATTGAGGCAGTTCTGAAGGCAAAAGGGGGTCCAACCCGTTACTAGCATGGGGTACCTAATAAAGTGGCCGGTGAGTGTATATATATATATGTTGAATAATATAATATATATTGTATAGTCTATTATTTCTTTTTTCTTTCTGGGGTATTTGCAACAGTTCACTATCAATTTTATTGATCATGAAAACCTCCACTTCATTCACAGTGTTAACACATTTCATTGTGTTGTTTTAAATTTGTTGCCTCAGGAGAAGCACATACTGTAAGACATTTATGATAATCTGTGCAAGCAACAACTAACCGGTCAGCTGATGGTGTGCATTTAAGGTGGAACCACCTTCTGCAAATAATGCACAAGATATAGTCATCTCTGTGCTTTGGGTCACCCTTACACGTTGAGGTTAAACCAGGAGTGCCCAAACTTTTTCCTATGAAGGGCCAAAAATCAAACTTGATTGTGGGCCGTGGGCCAAAAGTAAATTTTGCATCATAAATCAAACGGTATTACATTCAAGTCGCTATGGGTTTATTTATTTTTATAATATTTAAAATAAATATAAAACAACTTCAATCTGATTAACTAATGCAGTTTTATTTGCAAAGTTTTGCATTTTAAAGAACGTATTACAATAAAACCAACAATCAAGTGTTCAATGTACAATAGAGTTCAATGCCAAATCCACAAGCAATAATAAAACCATGTGGTTGCAATGTCAGTGACCTAATGAGACATACTGTATGAAGCTGGTCCTTATTTTTTCAGAAGTTTTTCAAGATTGGGCTGTAGCTGACTTACAGACAAAGACAAGATATTATGTAGGTGAGAGTCAGTTATTTTGCTTCTGAGTTTACTCTTGTTCAAGTTCATTAGACTGAAAGTCTGCTCGCAGAGGTAGGTGCTGCCAAACAGGGACAGCATCACTTGTGCCTGCTTACACATCTTTTGGTACCTGTTTGCTGGGACACATTTGTAGACCTCTGTCAAGGGAAGGGATGTGAACTTGTGTTTCAGTTCTGAATCACACTGAAGCTCAATTAGTTCCATCTGAAGATCGTCTCTGACTGCATCCACACTGATGGTGAAGGGTTGAGCAAACAACTCAAAGTCAGCAGTGCTGTGTCTGAAGTCCTCAAAGCGACTGTCAAACTCCTGGATAAGGTTGCTGAGAACAGCATCATACTCATGGACCTTCTCTTTCACCATGCCTACCTCTCCAAGACAGGGGAAATGGACTAAATTTGCTGCATGTGGGATGAGAAACAGAAAGAACAGTGTGATACTGGGACAGGCATGTAAAACAGAGGGAGAAAAAAAATAAAATAAATACCTAAAAAAAGGAAATGATTAAGAAACTAGCAGATTTTAAGCAAATTTTATCAGCTTGATGTACAACAAAAAAATAATAGCTGACATGACTGAATATAAATATAAACCACATATAATTCTAAATATAATTAAAAATAATTTAATTATAATTGCACAAAATATCATGATAATATATTATAACTGTAAATGTTACTGTTACCTGCTGAAAGATGTCTTCTGAGTAGCAGTAGTTTTTGTTTGAAGGCTCTGACGTGATCAAAAAGCTGGGTGATAATCTGGTCCTTTCCCTGGAGCTGAACATTCAAAACATTGAGCATCTCTGTCACATCCACAAGGAAAGCCAGGTCAGAGAGCCATTTCTTATCAGTGGGCACTTGAATATTACCATCCTTGCTTTCCTGAAAAACTCTGATCTCATCACGCAGATCGAAAAATCTCCTGAGAACTTTCCCTCGGCTGAGCCATCTGACCTCCTGGTGGTACAACACATCACCATATTGCGCATCCATCTCATCCATCAGTGTCTTGAACTGGGTGCCTGTCAAACCTTGTGAGGCCAGGCAAAAACTACAATAACTCCATCCACAAGTCGAGAAAGCGGTCAAATTCACCCATGCCTATAGAAAGATGTGGAAAGCGCCGTCGCTGCCTCTCTTCCTCCGAAGTTAGTGGTGACATCGGCTGTGCTCCACCGGCATTTCCATCGGCAACAGATACTACGCCGGGTTTCTTGGCGTCGAGTGATGACGTCACACGCTTGGCGTCTTTTTCTCGACTTTCTGACCCTGCGATAACTACTGGCGCTGAGCCACTTGTGCCCCCTGGCTCTCAGGAGCCTCAGTCTTCTGCCACACATATAATTAACCAGAATCTTTCTTCCTATATGTATAATGACATCTCATTGCCACAAGTCCTCCTGCTTGGTGATTCTTCCGTCAAGGGAGTTAAACTTCCAGGGTGTATCACCTATTGTCTGTCAAATGGCAGGATTGGTGATTTCATCAAGCTTTTGCCTAAACTTCTTCACTCACATACATCTGTCAAAATAGTCATTGTTCACACCGGGACTAATGAGATTATGGATAGGCAATCAGCCAGACTCCATTTAGAGCTCGAGGAACTATCGTTTCAAATTGAATCCTTGGGTAAACGCTAGTCTCAGCCTCAGACGTCACGCCCACGGAACGTTGGCTAAACGTCTGATGCATATGGTACACTTAACTGGAAACACTTCAGGAATGTCGAAGTCGTCATCTGATTGGTTGAATTTTATCGGATTTCCGGGGGGCGTCAGTGTCGCGTTTATTTTCGGTCCGCCGGGAAACAAAGCGCAGATGTGTGATTGCGGAAGAAAAACTGTTGTGTTTATATGAGTGGCCTATGTGAGTGACAATGAGCATTTCTCAAGATCAGCTAAACGTAGTTGTATGTCCCCTCCAATCTATTATGGAAGATCAAGTGAAGTACTTAATTGCGAAGGGTATATCAGCTGCGTTTGTGGACAAACATGAAACAGACGCTGACATCGCAGCTGGCCGATTCAGTATTCATAGGTCGCGCACACTGGATTATAAGGCACATAAGATACTGCAGAGTCAAACGTTTGACTGGGTTTGCGTTATGCATCCACTAGATGTACTAAAGGCTAAAGGGAATGTAGCTAGTGCGCGGCGCCGGAGGTGAGGCGTTTATTTAGTAGGCGTGAGCGCACTGGGGCGGGGACGTAACTTACATTCGTGTGACAAAGCGGACATAAGATGGACATGAGCGAGTTCGTGGGTGAATTTAATAACACGGAGCGTTGTTAGCGCCTCCGGTGACTGCTGACTGACTTGTTGCACACCGGTCTGTTGTTGTGGGGACATTTCCACGCCCCGAAACATGACGCTGAACGAAACGAACTGTAATTGGTTGTTTGACATGTCGGTCTAACGGCCTTATGGGCGGGCCTTGACCAAAGAAAGCTGCTATGAATTCCAGACCTTCAGCCGTCAGTCTGAAGGTCTGGCTACGCGAGACTAGGTAAACGCTGTATTCTATCTGGTCCTCTCCCCTCTCCTTCTATGGGCTCTGAATACTTTAGTAGTCTTTATGGACTGCATCAATGGCTATGCCACGTCTGTGTAGCTGCTGGATTTAATTTTATTCCTAATTTTGACTCCTTTTGGACTAGGCATGACCTCTTTAATGCTGACAGATTTCATCTGAATAGGAGAGGGACCAAGCTGCTCACCTCCAACCTAGTGAACTATATCGCCTTTGGCATGGACTGACATAATGCTCAGCCTGACCCTCCTACAGCCCTTCCCTGTTTCACTAAGCATAGTAATTATGAGGGTCCTGCTGAACTGTCCCCCTGCATAGATCTATGTTCATCAGATCTATACCTGCATACTCCTATTATGTCCTTACAGGCTCCTATTACCGTGCAAATTGGTTCCAAAATAGCAAAGGGGAATAGATCTAAATGCAACTCGGCTCGCAGACCAAACCCATCTAATCTACTTCTTATTTGTAAGAAATCATCTGTTCCTGTGGAAAAAAGTATATCTCCTACGGTAAAACTTGCTCTGCTAAATATCAGGTCACTTATAAAAAAGTCTTTTTTAATTAACGATCTTATGACCACATATAAACTTGATTTTTTATTTTTAACTGAAACTTGGCTTGATTCGGTAAACTGCAATAGTATTCTTATTGAATCTTCTCCCCCCGACTATAACTTTATAAGCATCAACCGTGAAAATAGACGTGGGGGAGGAATAGCTAAAATTTTTAAAAAAGAATTTCAGTTTTAACAGTCATTCTATGGTGACTATGCTTCTTTTGAATATCTTTCTGCTGTCCTTAAAAGCTGTCCGAAAACCCTATTGTTAACTGTATATAGACCTCCTACTTTATCAGTTGCAGTTTTTCTTGAAGATTTCTGTGAATTGCTCTCTGAAATCTGTGTTCACTTTGATAGTATTGTTATATCAGGTGATTTCAACATCCATGTAGATAACTCTGATAACACGCATGCAAGAGACTTTTTGGCTCTGATCGATGTTTTTAATCTGACACAACATATACAGAGCCCTACTCACTCTCAGGGCCATACACTCGATCTTGTTATGACAAAGGGTGTAACTGTTTCCACATCTATAGTGGATTTAGCTTTGTCTGATCACTGCTGTATTTTCTTTGAAGTCTGCTTGCTCCCATATTGTCAGAATAACTCTATTATGATCAGAAAAAGAGCTATAAATGACAAAACTTGTGTTCCTTTTGAGCAAACACTTTGTGAGTCCAAAAGCTCACTTCCTAATACTGCTGATAACTTGTTGGAAGATTTTAATTTAAAAATGACTAATATAATGGATGACATTGCTCCTTTAAAACCCACTAAACAGAAAGCTCCATGGATGAATGATCCGCTAGTTAAACTGCAAAAGAAAGAATGTAGGAGAACAGAAAGGAAATGGCGTAAATCCAAACTTAATTCAGATTATCTGATTCATAAAGGGACACTTCGTGAATATAATTCTGTTATTTGTAAAGCTAGACAATCTCATTTTTCCAATATTATCAACAGTAAAGCAAATAACTCCCGCGCGCTTTTTTCCACCATTGAGAAGTTAACAAACCCTTCCCCCCATCTGGCTCCTGAACTACTCTCAGTTGAAAAGTGCAATGAGTTTGCTTCTTTTTTTAAGAGCAAAGTAGAGAACATAAGACATAATATCTCATATACGTCACATAGCATCTCTTACTTTGAATTACCAACTCAAAGGGATCAGCTTAGCACTTTTTCAAATTTCAGTCCTATTGATCTTGACACTCTTGAAAAGACTGTACAGAGTCTAAGCTCTTCCACATCTGAGCTGGACATCTTACCCACTAGTTTTTTTTAAATCTGTGCTTCATTTAATAGCAACTGATGTGCTTTTAATAATTAATACTTCTCTTATGAACGGCGTATTTCCCAATTCCCTTAAAATAGCCGTTGTAAAGCCTTTACTTAAAAAGAATAACCTGGATGAGTCTGTTCTTAACAACTACAGACCCATATCAAATTTGCCTTTCATCGGTAAAATAATTGAAAAAATTGTTTTTAATCAAGTGTCCGCATTTTTAACCTCAACCTCCTGTTTGGATCCCAACCAGTCAGGTTTTAGAAAATACCATAGCACTGAAACAGCCCTGATTAGAGTAGTTAACGACATTCGGCAAAATAATGATGCTGGAAAAACCACTGTTCTTATGCTGTTGGACCTCAGTGCGGCGTTCGACACTGTCGATCACAGCATACTAGTAGAAAGACTTAAATGCTGTGTGGGTCTCTCTGGCTCGGTCATCTGCTGGTTAAAGTCCTATTTAGAAGACAGGAGTTTTTATGTTTCTATTGGTCATCATGCTTCAGCTCCAGTGTCCTTAACATGTGGTGTACCTCAGGGTTCAATCCTTGGCCCTCTTTTGTTTAATCTATACATGCTCCCACTTGGCCAAATTATGAAAAATTATTCTATTAGTTATCATAGCTACGCAGATGACACACAGTTATACCTATCCTTGTCCCCTAATGAGTTTGCTCCCCTTGAATCTCTTTATCTTTGTCTTGATCAAGTCCAAGACTGGATGTCAAGAAATCTCCTTAAATTAAACACAGACAAAACTCAAGTAATTATCTTTGGGAAAAAGGATCAGAGACTAAAGGTTGCCACACTATTGGGAATGAAAGGTTTTGAGGTAGTGGAAACTGTGAAGAACCTCGGGGTCATTATTGACAGCGACTTAAGCTTCAATAGCCACATGAAGTCAGTCACAAAATCGTCTTTTTATCACTTAAAAAATATTGCAAAGGTTAAAAACTTCATATTACCGGGAGACTTAGAAAAGCTTATTCATGCTTTCATTTCCAGTAGGGTGGACTATTGTAATGGTCTTTTCACTGGTCTCCCTAAAAAAACAATAAAATCTCTTCAAATTATCCTAAATGCAGCAGCAAGGCTACTGACCAGGACCAAAAGAAAGGATCATATCACACCAATTTTAAAATCTCTACACTGGTTACCAGTGACTTATAGAATTGATTTTAAAGTTCTTTTTCTTGTTTTTAAAACACTAAATGGTCAAGGACCTCTATATATGGCAGATATGCTTAAAAAATATACCCCCTCAAGATCACTTAGATCTGCTGGTAAACTCGAGCTAGTACAATGCAGCGCTCGTACTAAGCAGGGAGAGGCAGCCTTCAGCTGCTATGCGGTCCGTCTTTGGAACCGTCTTCCTGTAGACATTAAGACCTCCCCCACTATCTCTATTTTTAAATCTAGATTAAAAACGAAACTTTTTTACGATGCTTTCTACTGACTCTTTTTATTTCCTTGTTAAGCTACATGTTTTTATTTTTTGTAATGATTATTTATGATTATTTATTTTTTGAATTTGTGTGTGTGATTGATGTATGTAAATTGTTTCTTAACTGCTATGATTGTGTAAAGCACATTGGGCTACCTGTGTATGAAATGGGCTATATCAATAAACCTGAACCTGAACCTGAACTGTCGGTGAGAGAGCGCCCTGGAGCGTATATTGTTGACAATTTTGACGACGTCACGCATCACATCCACAAGCCCGACAGATTTGGCACATAGTTGTTCTTGATGTAAAATGCAGTGGTACCTCACAACTTTTCCTCCAAAGTCACTGACTTTCTGAGACACAAATGTAGCAAGGCCAGATTTCCTCCCTAACATTGCCGGCGCTCCGTCAGTTGTAATGCCGGCCATCTTCTCCCACTTTAATTAATTTTTTTTCAACACTCTCTCAACAGCAAAAAAGAGATCTTCTCCTTTAGTAGTATCAGAAAGGGTCTCAATGCCAGCCAGCTCTTGCGTTACATCAAAAGTGTCATT